TGCGGGAGGCAGGGTCAGCCCACCCCCAGGAAATACTTTATTAAACCAGCCCAAGGAAGGCCAAAGGGGAAGGGGTAGACCAGTGCAATAAAGCCACAGGAATGGGAACTGGCAGGAGAGATGGGGGATCAGGGTGAAGGCACCCCCCAACTCTTTGCCCTATTCTGAAGCTCTTTCTGGGATGAGACCCATAAAAAAGGGAAACACTGGAGGGTGCCATAGCCCCAGACTATGACCCCATGCTGACAGAACCCAACAAGGTAGTTCCACCCTGGGTAGGGTTGTCATCCCCCAGTTCCCAGCAGGGGTTCCCCCACTTTGGGGAGCTCTGATTCACCACTGGCTAGCTGGCCAGCAAGGGAAGCCCCAGCTCCAAATAGGGATGTCGCCAGGGGACATCCTAGACATGATGACGTCATCCGCGTTGGGGATGTCAGGGGGTGATGCTCTAGTTTTTGGGCAAACTCTATGGTTTTGAAGGCAAAAAGAGAGAGTTTTGTCCAAAAACTAGAGCGTCGCCCCCCAACATCCCTGATACAATGACATCACTTCTGGGTGACGTCATCACAGTGGACCAGAAGATTCCGGAGAAGAAGCTGGATCCCTCAGCGGGCAGTCAGATAGGACCTGGCAGCCCTTGCCCTGGGTCTGGTAGAAGAACATTAAACTACCCTGCTGGTTACTTTGTATGCCAAGAATGAATTTTCCAAGCAACAGAGATGATCTTCCTCTAGAATCACTGAATTCTTTGGCATCAGCTGTTTTGACACAGAGATCACTGAGGAATCTAGGAGGGATCTCATCCAATCATCTCAAGGAAACTCTCTCAATGTATTCGTCTTTACTTCCCTTCAGAAGGGCCTTTTTTATAGTTACTCTAACATTTCAGTCAAAGCTTCTATTAGTACAGTGCTGATTAGTCTATTTATCAATACTTTGATTACTTCTGAGTCCACGGTGGAACATTGGCCTACACTGCTCGTTTTTCTTCCTCGCGTGTATAGAATTAATCTCCCAGAGAAATCTCTCCTGGTGGACACTCACAAGAAAGAAATGGAGCAAGAGCATAAACGTGCTGTGAACTGTGGGAAACTTGCAGCGCTGTCCTCAACAGAGTTACTTCCTTTTAGGCCCATTCACTTGAATGGACTTGGGAGGCTGTCACTCAGTTTAGGATTGCTCTCTCAGCCTACAAATCTATTTTCTATTTCACTTTTTCACCTATTCTTATTCTGAAGTATCTTTAGCATATGGGAAATTTGGACATGGATGCACATGGGACCCTCTGAATTGGCAGGGTATGCCTTTTGCTAAGAAGGGGGACACATATCCTTCTCTGGGGCCACTGGCTGTTGTGAACGAGAGCAGAGCCGAACTGGAGCCCAGGATGAACCCGGTTTTGTAAGTCCATGGGATGCCGGGTCATGGGAAGAGAAATCCCAGAAGGAAAGCAAGTCAAGTGCTGAAAGCAGTTCTGCTCCTTAAAAACAGCTTTGCTGCCAGTCCTTCAGACGGAGTCTGTGTCATACGGAAGCTGCCATATTAAAGTGTGTGCCAGGCCTGTGTGTTATTGAGCAATGTAATAAGGCCAGGATTTCCTTCCATTAAGATGCATTTTGCAACCCCCTTCCCGGTCTAGACATAAAACAAATCGTGCATTGATTTCAGCCTGTACATGTCTCTTACTGGTACCAAATGTATTCAACAAAGAAGAGCATTTTTAAATGCAAAGGCTCCAAGAAAGGGTTGTTCTGTCACAGAATGGCCTCAGCCTTCCCAGAAACCAGCAGAGTCAACAAGAGCACAGAGACTGGCCTTTCTGCCCACCCCCTTGTGCTTTCTTTGCCTCATCCCCTTTTCACACTTCTCCTCTCTTCCAAGAGCTTACCCTTTCCTCTCCTCATTTCCACACTGGAAAAACGACAACCTTGCCATCCCGAGAGCCTTGTTGTTCTAAGGCAGTTTGCATGCGAGACCCAAAAATGTGATTTCTTTCTGCCTTTGTGCAGGGTTAAGTGTGTTAGGAGGCAGCGCCTGCATCAGCACACCCTGGCAGAAGCATGAAAAGGTCAGCGTTGCTCTCCAGTAATCAGCCAATGCGAGCCTCCCCCCCCCCATGTATGCCTGGATATGATATTGCCCTGCCCTGCAGTTACAATTAACCCCTGAAGAACCCCAATCTAGCAATGAGCTTGAGCTGGCTGCTCTGAACACATCATCGTGCCCTCCCTCCTTTTGAAGGAAACAAGGGCTGCCTCCCCCCCCCAGCCCACTCCTTAAATTAGTCTGCGGAGGGAGGGGGGCGAGATTCTAGCAGAGGACCTGGGGAAAGTCATGAATAATGTAAGCCTCCCTAGACACAGCTGGATAACTAAGCCTGCATGCCACTGATACCACCTCCTCCTTTTCCTTCCTTATGACTGGGGCCCTCCCACAGCCGTTTCCGCAAGTCACACTTGGGTTCCTTGGCATAATTTGGGCCCCTTCTCCAAGCTCACTTAACTGAAGATGGAGGAGGGAGCATAGCTGAATAGGAAGAGTTCAGAACTGGAGCTCAAGGGATTCCCCCTCTGCTCTAAGCCACGCGACAGATCGTTCTTGATGGCCTCGGGCTATTGGCGTAACCTCACTCTACGTCTGATTCCCATCTATGACATTAAAATAAAGCATCACAAGGGAGTTTTATAGAGAAATATTAATACGCATGCGCACAGCTCAACTATGGTCATGCTAGATATCACAGCCTGGCGAAAGCATGGAGGATCAGTTTTGCAACGGGACAGAATTTTCTTGCCCTTATTTCTTTCAGGGTAACTAATGGTTTTTTTAAAAAGAGGGCTGGGAAATTAATAATGTGGCATTATAAACATATTAAGACACAGGGAAGGGGAAACAAACTTGACCCAATACCTGGAATCAAGAACCACAAGGGTAAGAAAGAAGTCTGATAAAGGGCCAATATTAAAAACCTAGTGTATAATTGTCATATACAAAAATACATGTATACTGATGCGTCAGGTCCCTTGTGTCGGCCCTTGTGTTCAGGTCACTTGTACTTTGTAATGAGGCTTTCATTGGACACTTATATGTTTTTAACTATCTTTCTAATAAATACATGTATTTTTGTATGTAACAGTCATACACCAGGTTTTTAATACTGGCCCTTTATCAGGCATTATAAATGTAACATGGAGTAGAAATGGGTTTAATGCGCTGTCAATGCAAACCTTGTTTTCTTGGAGGGCAGGGAGGACAAAGAAGGGACTGGAGCCAAGATAGAAATGCTGACAACAGACATGCTAATATGACTGATTAAATTAATTAAATGAAAAAAAAGCCATTTCAGTGAAATCTGAACATGAGGTCAAACTTTGATTACGAGGCAGCAGCGGGGGTATGGACAAGACAAGGAGCCTGCTAAGGCACCAGGATACGGGAACACTCATCCCTTTCACAGTCAGCGAGATTGATATTTTCAGTGCCTCAGCCAGGCAGCATCTATGAGCCAGTTAAAACCATATCAGCTCAGGCATCAGGGGAGGAAGGGTCTTGTTTCTCCGGCAAAGGGTTACACAGGTCTGAGCCATGAGAGAAAGAACCTTGAGAAATGTTGCTGAGACAGGTGCATATATTGGACATGCCCAGCACTTGAGTCTTAAAACAAGGAGCCAGGGCTGAAAGGATGCCAAAAAGAAGTTACATCCTCTGCCCCAGAAGCTCTTACATCAACAGCCTGAAGTGCGATGGCTGCTTTTTAAATCCAGACTGCTGAGAGAAAAGCGCTCTGCATAAGCTCAGAGACATTCTCTTTAACATCCATGTTTCAAGGCTGAGCTGGGCCATTCTAAATAGTTCTGGGGTTTAAACCTCTGATGATCAGATTAATCCCCAGATGTATTAATGCAGCTGTTTTGTGCTTTACAAGCAGGGATGCTGAAGGGCTGGGAGATGGAGGTTGCTGGCATGTGGCTGAAGGTAATAAATAGTCATCACCTCCAGGGAATTTGTAAGGCCATTTAAGAAGAGCTCCAGCACAGCAACTATAGTAAATCCTTCCTTGTCACTTGATCTCTTCATGTTTTCCAGGGAAGACCAGAATCGCAAATAGCCATGGGGAGTTACAGTGAAACTGAAGAACAGAACCCTTGTGAGGCTGCTTCCAGAAATATTTCTGGTTGCTGAGCATGCTCAAAATGGCATATCCAATACCTGGAAGCAACATGGGAACAGTGTCAGTCTCCCGACTACTCCGAGAACAGAAGTAAAAGCAAGATAGGGCATCATCCCGAGCACCAACTGTGGCTCTTTGGTTAGTACTACCTTCTTCAGGCACCTCCCGCATATCCCAGTGCCAATTAAACTCTGTTCAGCCCTGGAGAAAGCTGCCAGCCACACAAGCCCTCCAGGTTACATTGTTTGTTGCAACTAAACCCCAGCCTCATTTCGACTGTCTGTTCAGTAAAACACAAGCCCCCCCCCCTGTAAGCGCCTCATTGTGAAAGCTTTCATGTCTGCTGAACTATTGTGCCATTTTATGAAAGAAAGGCTGGGGAAAGAACCAGGCACCCTTTCGTGCCCCCCCCCCGCTTCGTGCAACAAGCAGGTTTATCTTAGCAATTTACATCCATTCTCTCTTCCTTTGTGTGCACTTTATCTAATTTAGGTTGTAAACTCTTCAGGGCAGGAACCTGGCTCCGTCTAATAAATTATGAAATGAGTCTGCCACAAGATAATAGTGAGCAATCAAATCTTGCCTTTTGGTAGCCCACTGAGCTATTACGCCCTAAAGGAAGCTGGGGGAAAAAATAAATAAAACATCCGCCAGTGTAATTACTAGCAAATTCTCTCCCCTTTTATTTTATCCAGCCTTCCGATGGCATCACGGCTTGGATGCTGAAGACCCAGCACTGTTCAGAGCAGGCGAACAGGCTGGCCTCATTGTCATGACCCCAAGAAATACAACAGGACCACAATCAGAGAAAGAGCGGAAATGTTTGTACCTGTGACAGTCACCAGCATGGAGGCCACCAAAGGGCGGTTGTTGTCCAGCTTGCGGCTCAGGCGGAGTTCCCCACTCGTCTGGTTGACAATCAACAAGTGCAGCTCGTTTCCTCGTTCAAAGGTGTAGTAGAGTCTGTCAGACACATCTGGGTCATAAGCGGGGATCCTTCCTATCACCCCCGAAGGGAAGGTGTTGGACTTGTTGGAGATGTAGTTGTTAAAGAGGATCTGGAAGTTTTTAAGGACGGGGCTGTTGTCGTTCTGGTCAATGAGCTTGATGTGAACGGTGGCTCTGCTGACGAGGGGGGCGGAGGTTGCCTGAACTACGATGACGTACTCCGACTTAGTCTCATAGTCCAGGTCGATCAGGGCAGTGAGCTCACCTGAAAATATGTCCATCTGAAAAATTTCCGGGATGTTGCCTTCAACAATCTGATACATGATCTGGGCATTGGGTCCCTCATCGGGATCGACGGCTGTAATCTGAGCCACGACGGAACCCACAATGCTGTTCTCCTTCACTAAGACCTCAAACTCCTCCGCTGGAAAGACAGGGGCATTGTCATTGACATCTTGGATGGTGACTTGAATATGGACAGGAGTTCTTTGAGGTGGGGCTCCCCTGTCCACAGCATACGCAGTGAGTTCATAGACAGGGATGGTCTCACGGTCCAGCTTGCGGACAGTGCGGATAATCCCAGAAGTGGGCTCTATTGTGAAGTCCCCATCCCCATCCTCCCCACTCTGGAAGGTGTACTGCACCCGTCCGTTGACGTGGGCATCCCGGTCAGTGGCAGAGATCTGAAGGACGCTGGTGAAGGGAGGGCTGTCCTCAGAGATGATGCCTTGATAGTGAGCACTAACAAACTGGGGAGCATTGTCATTAACGTCATTGACCATGATCTCTACGTAGGTTGTATCTGCTTTCTGAGGGATCCCGTTATCTTTGGCTGTAATAGCCAGAGTATAGGTGACCTGGTCCTCATAATCCAGCTCTGCCTGTAACGTGATGGCACCAGTGTCGGCATCGATGCGAAACTGGGGGATATTGTCCTCCAAGTAGTAGGTGATCCTGGCATTCTCCCCCACATCGTCGTCTGTGGCACTGATCACTACCACCGTGCTCCCTACAGGACGATCCTCATTAACACTCACAGAGTAATGGGCACTCTGAAACACTGGCCTATGAGTGTTGGCATCAGTAATGTTGATGTGCACGTGGCAATTGTCATGCAGAGTCCGATCAGAAGCCGTCACTGTGAGCACGTAGCGCCTCTCCTGCTTGTAATCCAGAGGCAAAGAGAGGGTTATCAGACCCACTCCCCCCTGAGTGCTGATGGCAAAACGGTTCCGTGTGTTCCCACCTGTTATCTGGTAGCTGATGGCACTGTTCACATCCCGATCGATGGCTGTGACGCTGAGGACGCTGGTCCCCACAGCGGCGTCTTCATTGAGACGGATGAAATATTCTTTCTGAGTGAATTCAGGGCGATTGTCATTTACATCCATTACAGTGATGGTGACACTAGCAGAAGCTGATAAAGTTGGGGAGCCGTGGTCCCGGGCCTCTACCCCAAAGAAGTAGTGCTCCACAGTCTCTCGATCCAAGGGGCCGCTCACAGTAATCCAGCCAGTGGCACTGTTCACCACGAAGGGGGTATCGGAGGAGATTCCAGTAAGCTTGTACTCCAGTCGAGAGTTTTCTCCATAATCTGCATCCACAGCCTGGATGTGAATTACTGAATGACCAAAAGGGGCATTTTCCAGGACAGATATTTGAAAGGGAGTGCTGACAAAAATGGGGGCGTGGTCATTAATGTCCACCACCTGAATGCTAACCATACCTGTGTTGTTAGATAGAGGAGGCCGCCCTGCATCCTGGGCACGTATTCTCAGGGCATACTCTCGCTCAACTTCGAAATCCAAAGGAGCCACCACCTGTATTTCCCCCGTTACACTGTCAATGGAAAACTGGCCTCTGCTGTTCCCACTGATGATGTTGTAGTGGACCAAAGCATTATTGTCCTTGTCCAAGTCAGTGGCAGTAACTCTCAGGATTTCTGAATGGGGTCTTATATCCTCTCGTACCTGGACTATATAGCGCTTCTCACTGAACTGGGGGACATTGTCATTCTCATCAAGGACTGTGATATAGACTCTAACTGTGGCGGATCGAGGACCAGGTTCTTTACCTTGATCATTGGCCTCCACCACCAAGGAATATTTCTCCATTTTCTCCCGGTCCACTTGCCCACTTGTGGTGATCAGCCCTGACCGTGAATCTATTTCAAAGACAGAGTGGGCTGCCTGAGCATTTACAAAACGGTATCTTATGTTGGCATTGGGCGGGGAGTCCACGTCTGTGGCCCTCAGCTGTAAGATAGGGTAGCCCTCTTCTACATTTTCTCTGATAGTCTCTCTGTACTCACTCTGCTCAAATACTGGATTATGGTCATTCCTGTCTGCCACTGTGATAGCAACCATGGTGGTGGCTGAAAGACGGGGAACCCCATGATCCACAGCAGTCACCCGGAAGTAGTGTAAATCCATATTCTCCCTGTCTAAAACTTCAGTGGTGGTGATGAGGCCGTTGTGGGAGTCTATGCTAAACAGCTTCAGCGACCTGCTGTTCATCAGGGCATCCATGGAGTACACTAGCCGCCCAGCATCACCTGAATCGGGGTCTTGAGCTGCCATTGTTATCACAGGGGTCCCCGGAGGTTGGTTTTCAGCCACCTGAACCTGGTAATTGTATTGAGGGAAGAGGGGATGGCGATTGGCCGCTCTTCGAGACCTCAACAAGGGTAGCGGTGACCCCTCCCTCCTCCTCCTCCTCCTCCTCCTCGCCTGGGCACACGGGGAAGGGAGAGCTAACTCATTCTGCATAGTTGGACGAGTAGGTTTTAATGGCAGGTGAGGAAAGAATCCCGGAGTTGACGTGCTGCTGAAATCCACGCCAACACAAAGAGTTCGTAAACAGCCTTTGGTGGAGTTAAAGGGAGTCAAGGCAAGGCAGGGACGGAGCTTTCTCCCCTCTACAGCGGGGTGGACTCCGAGCTCTGCGCGGGTAGCTGTCCCAGGCGCCGGTGGTGCTGAAACAGCCTCTACCGTCTCTTCCCCGCCACCCCAGGTCTGGAGGCAGCAGTGCTCTCGGCTTGCCCCGCAACACTCACCGGCCTGGCGGCGAGAAGCTCCCGAGTGAACCGGCTGCTCCACACAGCACTGAAGGCAAGTCAACAGGGCGAGCCACCCGCAGAGGGGCGAGGGGGCGCGGGGAAAGGAAACGGGCTGCATCCTCGGGAACCGGCGAGGCTTTTCCGGGCTCCCGATTCTCTTCCTCGCTCTTGTGCCGGGCCGCTCGCAGACTGACAGCAGACAGGGATGGGTGACGTCCCAGGCGCCGGGAAATCGCTTCACACAGACTCGCACGCCCCGGGATGCACGTCGGCGGCTTCGGGACGTGGCCTCCCAGCTGTTCTCCTCACCCGCCCCATTGTCCGACCGGTCGGCTCCTGTTCCAGAGCTGGACGTGAAGGTGCCCGGCTCTGCCTTCGCCTCTGTCCCGCGCACCGCCAGCCTCCGCAGGCATTCCCCGTCCGTCGGGAGATCAGGAAGGAGAGCGGCAGCGTTTATAATCCACGCGCAGCGGGAGCCGCTGCCCCACTCCCCACCGGCGCCTGGCGGGCTTCGAGTCCTCTTCCTGCCACGCAGCGGGGCCACGGATCCAGCACGGGAAGCATCGACGGCTCCGGGCGCCTGCCTCGCCTGGCGGGGCCAGAGGGGGCCAGCGCGACACCAGCTAGCCCCCTGGGCGCAGGCGGAGGGGAAGGCTCCGCAGAGCCCCCCGAGGACAGCCAAGCGCGGCCACCCCCAGCCCGGCCCCTCCGCCACAGCAGGGCGGGCGCAGCCCCAGCCCCCTCCGTCTGCCGGCTCCCCCAGGCCGAAGGGGAACAAAAGGAGCAGCAGCAGCAGCAGCCCCAGGCAGCGGCCCCGGCGAGGACGACGGCGGAGGCTCGGTCCCGGCTGGCGCTGCCGCGGCTCAGCCATGGCCCCTCGGCCCCTTCCCCGCCCCCCTGCCCGGGCCTGGCGCTCCCCCGGCCCCGCCTCGCCCCTGGCTCTGCCCCCTTCTCCGCCTGCGCCGCCGCCACCACCATCTATCTCTCTCTCTAGCGGCGGCGGCGGCGGCTGCCTTCCCTGCGGGCTCGGCTGCTTCGCGTTGGCGGCGGCGGCGGCAGCATCGCCTCTTCCCGCAGCCCCAACATGGCTCCCGGCTGCCCCGATGGTCCGCTCCGCCCTCCCTCCGACTCCCCTCTCGCCGCCCTGCCGTGGTAGCGCCCGCCCGCCAGTCTGGCGTAGGCGAATGAAGCCTCCGCCTCCGCCATCTTCATTGCGGGCAGCTGGGGGGTGGGAGGGAAAGAATGGGCGGGGAGGGGGCGCTCACTGAGGAAGCCGGGAGGGGAGATGTGGTCGCCAGGTGTGGAGGGACGAGAAGATCGGCTCTGCGTTGCACACGGGGCATCGCTCAGGGGTGGCCAGGCTGCAGCAAGAGGCCTGGGAGCTCTCCGCGGTGCTGAAGCAGGCAGGGAGGGTTAGCGGGCCGGCAACGGGTGGAGGGTCTTGGACTCATACTAGTGAATGGGTAGCAGGAGGACATTCAAAAAGGGGCTGGTCGGTGGAGAGGTTACATAGCCAAGCGGAGCGCAGGTCTGATCCTGAAGGGATCTTGAGTTTGGCTCAGCCTTATCATGCAGGCTTGTCCTTTTACAGGCTCTCAGCTGTCTGTTATATTCCCCATCAGGGACATAATAGGGGAGTTTCTACTTAATCTAGAGGCCTGAACTAGAGAGCAAGAAAGGGGATAGTGGTTAGAGAGTAGGAACTGGGGAAAGCGGATTCAAATGCCCAGTGCTGTAAACATTTTCTGGGTGATCTGGCTTAGTCACTCTCAGTCTATTTGACCTCAGAGGGTTGTTGTTGGGTGACAAAACGGAGAAGAAAATGTTGCAAGCCATTTTGGGTCCCCATTGGAGAGGAGAGCATAAATCTAAATAAATCAACTACAGGAAGAGACTGCAAGCAACCCTGTGAGTGATGATTCCCCCCCCCTCTGCTAAATAAAGGCAGATCACAACAGTGAGATCCTCTGTAGGTGGTATACATTGATCAATGATTCTGAAGCAAGGGGAAGAGCTGATATTCTGAGATTTAAACAGAATCCCTTAAATGACTTTTGAGAACAGCCACTGGATTAGCACAGAAGAGCTGTGACAGATCAGGTAACTGATGTGCTGCCCAATCCCAGGTATGATTACTCAGAAGTAAGTCTTAATGGACTTTCCTGGGGCTCACTTCAGAATTAAGTTTGCACATAATTGCAGGCTTCATCAGATCTCCATGAAGTTTATTTATTTACTTACAAAGTTTATAGTCCGCCTTTCTCTCTGAGACTTGAAGGGAATAAGTTCATTCAGCTGTTGCAGTAAATCGTTGCTTATGAATGCTCATGCCATATTGAGCCAGTTCAGTTCTAAGGCATCAGAAAACCTGCTTTAAAATGACAGGGGGAGAGAAGAATCTAGGAACAACACAGAGGAGAGTGGAAGAGTGCTGAATGAGGATGCAAAAATCAGCATGGCCACTAAAGGACTGGTGAATGAAATGCTAGGTAGCAATGGCAAGATGGTGAGTTGGAAGGACAATGGCTCACAAGGCATCAAGAAAAAGGTGGTAATAGATAGGAGGAGGAGGAGACTGGATTTATACCCCACCCTTCGCTACCTGAAGGAGTCTCAGAGCAGCCTACAATCCCTTTCCTTTCCCCTCCCCACAACAGACACCCTGTGAAGTGGGTGGGTCTGGGAGAGCTCTCTCAAGAACTGCTCTTGAGAAAACAGCTCTGAAAGAATTTAGAACTGACCCACGGTCACACCAGCAGCTGAATATGGAGGAGTGAGGAATCAAACAGGGTTCTCCCAGATTAGAGTCCACACTCTTAACCACTACACCAGACTGAACAAATGGGTAGAATTTCAGTGTGTCATGAAAGCCCTGAAGAGTGGGAAGATGGTGGTTTACAAGGAACTGGGCCAGACTGCTCAGGTTGCTGGTATTGAGGACAGCAGAGTTGCAAGGGAATGAACCAATGGAGGTCGAGGGGAAATGTGAAAGAATGGTGAAGCAAGGAAGAAAGACCCACTATATTTCTTTTAAGGTGCACAAACCATAATGCTCTGCTTTCCTACAGAGGATCATACTTGGTTTTCAAAGCAAAATGCTTGCAGGAGGATGAAGGTATCAGTGAGCTTCAAATGTGCATACCAATCCAAGCTTATCTAGCCCACCAGCCCATGTATGAACACCCAGCAAAGGGTGGATAATCCTCTAGTTCTTGCCGTGGACTGTAAAAACAGAGCCATTGAGAAGCATCTGGCCTGTTGGCTGCACTCTGCTTCACCACATGGACATGCTTGCTTTAACTATCCACAGGTGTTACGCACAGCCCAAAGGAGGATTATGTGATCTCAGACCAGGCCATGCACACCCCACTCCCCTTTCCGCAATTTTTTTTTAAAAAATCTCAACTGACTTGCATTTGTAGGTAGACATTACTATAATTCTACAGAGGATCTGGAGTTACAGCGCTGCTACAGGATCATTTACCATTCATATTCAGTACAGCTGTGTCTTTCCGCCTGACACATTTCCATTCCTTCATGTGATCATTTCCCCTTCATTTCCTCTCTTTCTGCACTCATTTTCTTCCTCCCTCCTTACTATCATGTTCTCACTCTTCGATCAGCTAATGTTCAAGAGAGATGCCAGCCCGTTCCCAGAGGCTTTACAGGCGTCCCCTTAAATCCAGTCAGGATGGCCACTCTCTTTATCCAGAGCTCCCTACTCTGTTCAGCCCCACGTCTGCATCTCCATAAACATTCATTTTTAATGTAACAGGAGGGGAGGGGGAAATGACTCCTGCTCAGGAAACTGAACATTTAATTGAAATGGAGAAGCAGGAAATTGCTGTTGGAATGGCTTGCTCACACTGTAGATGGAAGACAGGAAGCAAAGCCTTTATTTCCTCTTGCTTTGTCCCACATTTCCATTGTTGCTCTCTTCCTCACAAAACTCCACAGTCAGAGGAGACAGAATCGCTTATTTCACAGGCCACGGATGGTGTGCCTGTCAGATTGCATTTTGTTGTTGTTCAGTCGCACAGTCGAGTCCGACTCTTCGTGACCCCATGGACCAGATCACGCCAGGCCCTCCTGTCTTCCACCGTCCTCTGAAGTTTGCTCAATTTCATGCTCGTTGCATCTATGACACTGTCTAACCATCTCATCCTTTGCCGTCCCCGTCTTCTTTGACCTTCAATCTTTCCCAGCATCAGGGTCTTCTCCAGTGAGTGCTCCCTTCTCATTGGGCAAAGTATGGGGAGAAGGTGAGTTTCAAAAACTCTGTCTCCACACCAGATAATGAAGGAAAGCAATATTTAGAGCTTGAAGGAAGATTAAATTAGACAAAATGCATGGTTTCTATTACATAGCGGACCAAGTAAATGTGCATCATTGTAAGCAAGAACATTTCATGAGGGTCCCAAAACACAGTCATGGTAGCATCATCCATTTGTGTTTGCTGTCCTGTATATCATAGGAAGCCAGCTGCTGACTCATGTGCCACAACTGACCCAGGCTATGACTGCTTTGGCTTATAGGAACAAGAGCAGGAAGATCTATGGTCCTGGCTACTTCACAAAGTCATGACTACACTCCAATGATGAGCTTGTCTGATGCCTGATCCAGAACTGCCAAAGGAAAGGGAGGTAGCATATATGACACATGGATGCAAGATCATATTTGAGTAAGATCATATGGAGTAAGATCATATTT